CTCATCACCTCTTGTTCTCACCATCTGATTAAACTTACATTATACTTTATACAAAAGATACACAGGTATGCATATACTAAAGAGTATACATAATCAAATAATTTGAAATGCAAGCAATTCACAAACTTATAACACATAGTTGTTCACGTTTAACAGTTAAGCGTATTCTTGATGCTTTCAGATTCATACTTATCACATGAATGCATCCTAGATCTTTTCTAGACGCTTATTGCCCTTTTGGACAAGTGTGTGAGTTATTAACTTGGCTCTGATACCACTCTGTCACAACCCGAACCCGCCCCTATGGGTTAAGGCCATAACCGGCCAGTAATCACGAGATTACCTACGGCCTCAAACCAAATAAAACAAAACTCATTAGAGTAAATGGGCCAAACGGAAACAAATTTAAAATTTTGTCCATAGAGCTGTGCTTATATGCACACCATAACATTCCAAACATTTATACGTTAATAACTCACATCAAAATGTGTACTAACACAGAACACTGTACATACAGGATCATACAAGTTTAAGTCAGTCGAACCCAAGACGTATATACAAAAGTAGTCCAATGCTTTCACCAACATAACAAAACTATGAACAAAGGACAAAGGTGAAGACAGTTTCGTGCGTGAGACGTTTGGGTTGACTCCTCAAAACTTTGACTACTTCTCACAATTTCACCGAGGCTGGTTCTGGACGTCCCTTGGCTCACTTACATGTACATGAATGAGCGTGAGCGAAAGCCCAGTGAATAATATCAATAAGGAAGATACATAAGCAATCTTTGAAATAGTTACAGCAGACGGCCTTTGGCCTAATCACTTATATCAATTGGCCTTCGGCCCAATCATTTATGTCAATCGGCCTTTGGCCCAATCATTGATGTCAATCGACCTTTAGCCCAATCATTGATGTCAATCAGCCTTTGGCCCAACCATTGATGTCAATCGGCCTTCGGCCTAATCATTCATGTAAATCGGCCTTCGGCCTAACCATTTATGTCAATCGGCCTTCGGCCCAATCATTAATGTCAATCGGCCTTCGGTCCAATCATTCATGTCAATCGGCCTTCGGCCCAACCATTGATGTCAATTGGCCTTCAGCCCAATCATTCATGTCAATCGGCCTTCGGCCTAACCATTTATGTCAATCGGCCTTCAGCCCAATCATTCATGTCAATCGGCCTTCGGCCCAATCATTTATGTCAATCGTTGTCCACCATTCGAATTAATGAACTTACAAAACTTATATAGAAGTAAATAATTGGGCAATAATATAATTCAAATATCTTATTAGGATATTACTTACAGTGATCGGTTGGTTGGTTTGCCCTGGAGCTCGACCCTACATATTCCATGAACACAAAAGGGTCACAAACAATTCAATCCGTTCTAAATTCACATTTTTCTCTTTAAGCTTCATTCTTATCTCTTTAACTCAATTCCAATGCTCAATGTATGCCTAAGATTACTTGAAAGTGAAAGAGAATAGAAAATGAAACACAGAATGTCTTTTCAAAATTTTGAAAAATAGGGTCCCCGTTCGAGCGTGGACTTCCCTGCTCGAGCGGACCCATAAGGTCTGCAAAAGTACTGCATGCATCAAAATTACGCTCGAGCGTTAAGTCTGGCGCTCGAGCTGAAGGTCTGTCTACATAGCTCCCCGCTCGAGTGGACATCCAAGTCTGAAAAAAAATACTTGGAGCACGAATTTCATGCTCGAGCGGAAGTTTCCCCGCTCGAGCGGACATCAAAATTCTGGAAAATCCAGAATTGTTCTTTGAGCTCAATTCGACCTTCCAATCAACATTTCAAGCATGTAATAGCTCAAACTTCAAATATATTTGTGCTAACAGGATACAAACACCAAATTATATCATTATGAAGCTCAATTTCATGGATCAAACACTTGCATGCCCCAAATTAACCCAAACTCATCTCCAACTCATCAAATTCATGCATTCAAAGCTCCTACTCTTATAAATTGTACATGCATGTGATATATTACCCTCATTTCAACTCACATGGTGCAAATGGTGATTGTAAGCATGAGCTTCAATTAGAAACTTACATGGATCATGTATTTCAAACTCATAATTTTTGGCTCAATTATGTAAATTCATGGTTATTATGCACATGCAAGCATTCCATGACTTCAAATACAACAAAATCAATCCAATTTCCTTATGATCAAACTAACTCATGTTCTTGACCATTAATCAAACCTAAATTCACAATTTTCAATATTAAACTCATGAATTCACTTACCTAGAGGCTCAATTCTTCCAATCTATGGTCAAATCTAGAGTTAGGCTTCAAATTTCCAAGCCTTCAAGATCAAACTTTGATTCTCCTACACTCTCTCTCTCTAGTTCAGTTCTCTCTTTTTCTTCTTAGAGTTAAAACCAGCCAAATGATATAAAAGGAGAAATCAATTATAATAAGGCCCTTTACATGTGCTCTCATAGGCACAATTGATTTGAATTAAATAATTGAGCACTAAAGCACCAATTTAATCTATTTATTTTGATCCAAATCAATTTCCAATTAAATTTCACCGTAGGTTCTAAAAATTACACTAATCATAAAGGCGCAATCGATTTCAGTTTCTGTGGCCGATAGGGCCTTCAATTTAATTTCCAAAGCAGATAGTCAAACAGATGTTCCTACGGTGAACAGATAGAAATTCAAAGCCACATATTTTCACATAATGGCACACAAAGTCATATTAAACACATAATCATACTCATATTAAGGACCAATTAACATATTACGGAACAAGGATATCACATATATATTGGTAATGCCAAAAAATAATATAAAAGCTTTGTAAAAGTTCACATGAACTTTAAAACTATTGGGTGTGGGTGACACGATATTCAGAAACCAATCACTCAGGCAAAAAGCAATTACAATTCAATAGGCCACATTTCCCTAGGGAAAAATTACCCACAAAATTTGCTGGCCCAGCAACACTGAAAATGAAATCAAAATAACCATGCACTTCAACAAATGCCGATGAGAGTGCCACTGTGCATCAGACATGTAAATTGAATTAGAATGCCAATTTACCAGTTAAAAACAGAATAATTGAGTTTATATCAAGCAAACAACTTTCTTCCCCCCTCATTTCATATTAAGCGAACGGTGAAAGTTCCATTTTCTTAAACATGTATTTCATTAGTAAGAATGATAAATCTCTACCCAACAAAAATAAAATAAAATAAATAAAGAATGACAATTCTCTAATGGAAGTTCAAACAGAGCTATAGCAGGAAAATAAAAAGAATCCCCCCACCCACACATTTTTACCCAACAAAACTCCTAACTAAGCTACTCATGAATAAGAGCAAATTCATTCATACGAATAACATATAAATTTAATCTCAAACTACCTCTTCTGCCATTTTTGTCAAATTAGTGCCATACTCCTCTAATGTTGGCATCTTATTGCCACTAGATCCCACTCCAACTCCAACACCAACACCAATAGGTTTTGTACTTTCTCCAACCATTCGGATGACCGCCACCTCATTGCCCGCCGTCGTCCCCCCTTGCCGCTGCTTGTAGTCGAGAGAGAGAGAGAGAGAGAGAAAGAGAGAGAGAGAGAGAGTATTTTGGGAATTTTTGAAATTGGGGATATTTTTGTTTAAGGGGTTGGGGATTGGGGATCATGAGTGAGAAGCAAAAGGGGGGAAAGAAAAACAAAATGGGGGAAAATTTAGTGTGCTTGGTTTGAGTTTTTTGAATTGAATTTTTTGAAAATTGAATTTTTTGTTTTCGTATTCTTTTGTTTTTAGTGAATATTTTTCAAATTTTAATTTTTTTTTACTTTTTTAGATGCACCTTAGTTGGATGTGTCTAAAAAGTAAAAAAAATTGTGAAAAAATATTTTAAAAAATTAATAAATACATGAAAATACAAAAAAATGTACTGATTTCTTGTATTTTTTTTTTGTATTTTTGGTATTTAGTGAATTTTTAAAAGATTTTTTTTACAATTTTTTTACTTTTTAGGTGTATTTATGTTAGGTGTGTCTAAAAAGTAAAAAAATTGTTTAAAATATTAAAAAAATTCAGTAAAAAAAAAACACAAAAAATAAGAATGTAGAATTTTCTGAAAAGTGTTTTCTAAAAAATGAAAATAGGCATATTATTATTTTTTTATTTGGTAGAAGTAGGGGTAAGTTTTGGGGGATTTTTGAAATTGGGAATTTTTTGTTTAAGGGATTGGAGATTGATGATTTGAGATCGTGAGAAACAAAAGGGGGAAAAGAAATGGGGGAATTAAAGAGTGGGAAAATGAAATTTTTTTTGTTAAAATAAATTTATTTTTTTGTAGTTAATGATTTTTTTTTTATTTTCCATTTTTTAAATTACTATGGTTGAAAATTTATTTGTTTCATTTTTATTTTAATGAAAAAAAATTCTTATTTTTTTATTTTGAAGAAGTAGGGGTAATATTTTAATAAAAATATTTTTCCGCGGCTCATTTTTTTTTTTGATACTAAAAATTAGGAACTAATTTTTTGTGGTAGAGGAAAGGAAGCGATAGTAAAAATGGTGGATAAGAGGTGACGGTCGTGGTGGTGGTGGTGGTAACAAAAAAGGTGGTGGTGGAGGTGTGGGGATGTATTTTGTGAACAATAGCACGTGGCTAAGGTGATGCCAAAGTGTCAGACGAGGTGTCACGTGGCTTGGTCATGCGCCGAGGTGATCTCGGCTAGGCCGAGGTTATCTGCAGAGATACTGGAATCCGAGATGAGTGGATAAGGGACAACTGACTGACACACGTACATTCCGATATTTTGGGGGTCCATTTCATTGACATTTCGAACCCACCAAACGACGCCGTTATCATCCATCAAACACCAAAAAAACAGATTTATTCCATTCCATCTATCACCAACGCCTATAAATAAAGCAGCATTCCCCCCATTCAACCCACAAAACAAAACTCACCAAACCATTCTCACATTTCATCAAAAACTTCTTCATCTCTAGACCAATCTCTTTCAAACTCTAAAATTTGTTTTGAAAACCCAAATGGCTCCTCCTAAACTTGTAAGTAAAACCACCAAGGCCACAAGCCTGGTCAAGGCGGCGAGCCTGACGAGCCGAGCTTATGTCACGTTCTTGGCTGGGAACGGTGACTACGTGAAGGGCGTTGTTGGGCTGGCCAAGGGCTTGAGAAAGGTCCAGACAGCGTACCCACTTGTGGTGGCAGTGCTGCCAGACGTGCCGGAGGAGCACCGCTGTATGCTGGTGGCTCAGGGCTGCATAGTCCGTGAGATCGAACCGGTTTACCCACCTGAGAACCAGACCCAGTTCGCTATGGCCTACTACGTCATCAACTACTCCAAGCTTCGCATCTGGGAGGTATATGCCCGTGTAATTTTGTGTCATTCATACTAATAATTATCTTTGTAGCTATAATAAAGTCATATACATTTGTTTGTGATTTAATTGCAGTTTGTGGAGTACCATAAGATGATATATTTGGACGGCGACATTCAGGTGTTTGAAAATATAGACCACCTTTTTGACAATCCAAATGGATACTTTTATGCTGTGAAAGATTGTTTCTGCGAGAAGACATGGTCTCACACCCCACAGTACAAGATTGGGTACTGTCAACAATGTCCTAATAAGGTCCAATGGCCTGCTGAATTGGGTCCCAAGCCTCCTCTCTATTTCAATGCTGGCATGTTTGTATATGAGCCTAGTCTCTCCGTCTACGAAGACCTCTTGAACACTCTCAAAATCATCCCTCCTACCCCTTTTGCTGAGCAGGTAAATGACCTATTGTTGTCAATTCAAAATCCAGATATCTCCATCTTTAAAATTCACAACCCGTTATTCTAATAGATTTTCATTCACATATTGTGATGTAGGGATTGAGAATTTGTTTTTTACATGTGTATATATATATGTTTTGCCTCTAATTTGATTTGGGATTTAATGGTTGTGCTTTCAGGACTTTTTGAACATGTTCTTTAAGGATGTTTACAAACCTATCTCACCAATTTACAACCTTGTTTTGGACTTGTTGTGGCGCCACCCAGAGAGCATTAAGCTTGATAAAGTGAAAGTAATTCACTACTGTGCTGCGGTGAGTGATTATGATCATTTATAATCCAATTCTTTAATTTTTATCTCAAATTATTTTAATTAAATGAAACCAATATTCTGAAGGGGTGAATTTGTTGTTTGGGTATTTTTTAGGGATCGAAGCCATGGAGGTATACTGGGAAAGAAGAGAACATGGATAGGGAAGACATCAAAATGCTAGTAAAGAAATGGTGGGACATATACAATGATGAGTCATTGGATTACAAGACTAACATATTACTCATTGAAGGGGTGGCACTGTCGGAGACCAGTGTTGGTCATTACATGCCCGCTCCATCCGCTGCTTAGCCTTATTTTTGGAGGGGCTAAAGTGAAGAACCGCATTCATGCCTAATCCTGTTTTTTAGTTCTTTAATTTTTTAAATGTGTATAGGCTTTTTAAAGTTATGAAGGATGGTCTTACTTAAAGTGGAAGATGATGTAATTAGGAAAAATAGATATTGCTTTTGTTTTTGTTTAACTTGTATTTTATTGGGTATGTGAATATTGGAAATGTATAATTACACTAATACATTTTCATTGTTAACAAAGGTGGAATCCCTAGTGCTCTGTATCTCATTTAGATTTTGTCTAATATCTCCATGATTAAAAAGTTATAACCATATTTCCAATCAGAGTTTCTTTGTTAATTTGGATGGTTGTTTATGGATCAAAGTTCACAATCACAATTTCAAGTCCTAGAACATAATCAATCAAGCATCAAATTCTCTCAATCTGTCCAGATTCTCATAATTCTAAGTCAAATTTCTATGGGAGTGTCTGACCTGATCGTGTAGTGAAAAAAGTCTTGAGATGGGGATAAAAATAAAAATAAAAATTTCCAGTGAAGATGAGAGTCTTGAGGTTCCATACCGTGGTTAGTCATTTGACAGAACAAGCAAATTGCAGGACTTGCAATTCACTTGGGTTTGGGAAAAATTCATTCTTTACTAACAAGTCAAGATAATAAGAGTTAATTTAGTCCACAAAATAGACTAAAAGGCCAAAATAGGGCAAAATATCTTATCTAAATCATAATTATTTCATTTTTTCTCTTATAACTATCAAATCAACAACAACAATAACAACAACAACAACAATAACAACAAAAAAGTAAAAAGTTCATCCTGAACAGAACTTTTTTAGTCAGGCTAAAATAGTTGAAAAATCAAAAAAGTCGGACTAAAAAAGTTTATTCCAAACAAACACTTACGCTGTGTTTGGTTGAGGAATTCGAGAAGGGATTTAGAAAGAAAATGAAAAATGAAGATAAAATGTGAATAAAATATACTTATATTTCTCTTAATTTCACACACATTTTCCTTTTCCATTTCCGAGTCCCTTCCTAAATCCCTCAATCAATCAGAGCGCTAGTGTCACCAAAGTCTATCTTCAATTCATGTGTTGAGATTCAGCCAAATTCATTACAACAATTCATATCAAAGCACAGGGGATAGCTTGATGGTTCGGCTTTTAGTTTCCATGTGAATTACGTTTTCATAGTTCTCCTAAAAAAAAAAGAAAAAAAAAAGCCCTAATGAAGAAGATGAAATGTAGTATTGAAGGGCTTAGAGACAAAATTCAAAATTCAAATACCAAAGTGATACCAAATGCATATTTTATTACTATTCCATTAATGTTTTAGGTGACTGTCTGAAATTGCTTCAAATAGCAAATTTTATGAACAAAATTGACAAAATTAACATTTGGATATGATTAAAGCAATTGGTACAAATATTTCACAGACCGTAGAAAGAACCAGAAATTCTAGAGGGTCACCTTTGGAAGCATTCGCGGATAACCAAAGTATCACTCCTTCATTTTGATTATGTCATGACACCGACTGAATCCAATTCACAAACACAGAAACATAACAAAGTTCATTTGTCAAGTGTGGTGATATTCTTATCCTGTGTAATAACACTATAGCCACTATAATAAATAAAAGTTTAGGGACTAAGCTTTTTTGTCTCTAAAAGTGAAAATTTATTGAAAAAAATATTTAGGGATCAATTTCTTTCAATGTGAGAATAGTTACTAAAAAAATCTTCTGAAAGGTCAAAAAAAAAAAACTTTTAATGATAAAATTTTAAAATGTCACTAAAAAGTATACTTTTACGGACAATAATTTGATCCAAAAATGTTTATTTATTTAGACAAATTATGGCCTCAAAATAATCGTAATTCATCATTAAATGTCCAATTATCGCTAAAAATGCAATAATAACACTTTTTAACAATAAAAATATTTCATTCCTAAAAGTAATTTTGTCGTTAAATTTTTATCTCTAAAACCTTAATTTATTATAATGGGTAAGTGGCTCTTCGAAGTAAGTTGTGTCACAACTTACAATACTCTACAAAAAATGACTTTTCGTGTGACAAGCTATGGTCTCAACACCCCTACAACATAATTGTTACTCTCATATATTTGAAGCCTAACCCACATGCAATTAGTAATAAGATACCCTACCCTAACCACCAAAAGGAATGACAACCATCTTGAATAAGGTTAAAATCCCCATAAAAGTATCATTAGTTATGATTTCGTATCCGGTTGAAATCTTAGTTAATTGATCGAAGTGAATAGCTCCAATAGACTCATAGATGATGGAAGAAATAAGGTACATAAGCCACCCACCACACTATACATATAGACAAGAACCTCCTCATTACTATGAAGCAATTTGGAACTTGATAAAAAATTAATTTTTGAGTTTTTATCAAGTTTTTTCAAAAAAAAAAGCACAAAAAAGTTATCAAAAAGGTCAATTTTTTCCAAAAAAATTACAAAAAAGTCAAAAAGTCAAAAAACTAACTTTTTACCAACTTTCTAAAACGCTCCTATAACTGCTCACCACCTACGACTTGCACAATGACAACTAAAACCATTTAGGGTTCATTTGGAATGTGCGTTAACTTTTTAGTTTTTTAGCTTTTTGATTATTTTAGCCTGAGTCTAAAAAGTTTCAATTGGGATATGTTTTTGCCTTTTTTGACTTTTGTGAGAAAAAAAATAAAATAATTATGAGTTAAATATGATGTTTTATCTTATTGCGTTAAAAAGTCTATTTTATCTTTTTGTAATTAAAATAACTAAAAAATCATAAAACATGACATGCCAAACAAAGGCTTACAGATTTTTCTTGCACCACTCCTCTCCAATCCTGATCAAACTTGCATTTCCCAAGTACTATGAAATGTGAGTCTTTCCCTCGCCTTTTGTATATACGGACTTGGCTTTGTCCCGAACCAATGAGGCATTCTAGCAAACCCGTGTATACATAAGCTAAAAAAACTACAATAAGGATCATTTTTTCCTCCAAATTACCGTCAAGTCCAATTCTTTTAATTACTTTTCTTAAATTAGTTCAAAACTTCATAATAGTATATTTAATTCAAAATGTACCCTTCAACATTTGAAATGGGTTAGGATGCGGGAAGGTTTTTTGCCTTCGGTAGATAACCAAGCCATTTTTAGAGGTCTTGGGCTTCGTATTGTCGGTTGAGCTCATGTTATTTGAGCTATTGCTAATTGAACCAAGCCTAGATAGGTTTGAATAGTTGAAATGGGCAATTTGGATCATATATACCAAGTGTGTCAAGTTACTTAGGATAGTAGGTTTCTTTTGTTAGATACCAAAGGTTGATTTTGCTCCTAGCCTAATACCCTGTTGGCTTATGAACTCTTTAATAACACACTACGCTTCTTAAAATTCAATTATTAATACAGAATTATTTATGAATATTTTGTAGCTTAACAATAATTAGTCATATCTATTTGTATCTTATTCTTTTCAAAAGTGACATAATAATATTATTTTTCTTATTGTATTTTGTTTATTATTAATATGTTAACATATATTAGTAAAAGGCTAGATGCTAGATGTTAATTGTTACTTGGGAAAAAGAAGAATCACAAAGATCATAGGATTTGAATACGAAATCTCACACTACAAAATATTAGTACACAAGTACACTAAGCCTAATGTCCTGTTTACATTGATACAAGAGTAAGTTTATGTGCATAGGTATTTGGTTTCTGTATTTCTATCATTACTGTTAATATAAATGTGAATGAAAACACTTATTAAATTAATATAAAATTAACTTATAAGACAATGAACAAATTATTATTATTTTTAAATGATCATACAGTATCCTATATTTAGATGAATAATGCTATATGTATCAATTTGTATACCAATTATTGCACTAACGGATGATGTGACATAATTTTAGAGGTTTTGAGTCTTTGTAAATTTTATAATAGGTGAGGTCATAATTTTGAAATAGTAATGTTATTGCATATGTTGGTATACTAATTAGTATATTAATTAGTGCATGTAACACCACTGTATTTAGACATTTAAATAAATAATATTATATGTACCAATTTGTATATCAGTTACTGCATTAATAGATAATGTGACATAATTTTAAAAATTTTAAATATTTTTGTCACGACCCAAACCCGCTCCTATGGGTTTAGCACCGTAACTGGCCAGTAATCCGAGATTACCGAAGGCCTGCTTAACAGTAATACAGTAATACAGAGTACAGGGGCTGGCGGAAGCCAATACAGTAATTAAACAATGTCCAATGAGATGTGATAATCTGTATGTAAAAAGACTTTTCATTCATATATATACAGTCAGACAAAACAGTATGTACATATATACAATCATCCAGTTCAGGGACCTAATCCCTATTAAACAGTGCAGTAACAGTCTAAACAGTCGCACAAAACAGATACAGAGATAGACGGTGGAAATTAAAAAAAACACCCCTAAGCCGTCGCTTGACAGGCTCGGAACCTCGCATTGAGGCACATAGGTTGGCTCGACAAAACTGGAGTTTACCCCGATGCTCCTAGCTGCGGTCTGGTGCCTGTACACCTACATATATATATGAGCAGTGAGCTAAAGCCCAGTGAATAACACAATGCGTAAAGGGGTTAAGAATGAATGTCCTTACAGTAATGAAAACAGTTCATTAATTCAGTATATCAGTCATTTAGTCATATGTGGTACATCCATTAGCTTAACAGTACAGTAAACAGTAGGTCTTAAAAGACCGAATAGTAAATGATGGCCATCAGTCAATAACAGTAGTGGTTCCAACGAGGGAACCGACAGAGATCTCTGTAACAGTAACAGTAAACAGTAGTTGCTAAGGATGCCACAGTACAGTTCAGAATAGAGGACATACATTCATTCAATCAACAGTAACAGTTCAGAAAGCAGTACAGTTCAATTGTTCAGAAAATAATCATTTGTGAAC